CCTCACTATTCACTTTAATTTTAGATCAGAATGGTCCAGTCTAGTCTAGAATCGTCCAGTCTACGTACAGTCTAGTCTACTACGCTTTCCTAAAATGCAGCCAAAGTACCGTAGCTTTAGAGAACGCGTTAGCAGCTTAGTCCACCACATATCAACTTCAATTGAGCTCAAGTTTTCCCGGGGTTTTTGAAAACATTACATCATTTCAGTTGATGAGCCAAGATTTTTGATTGTTTAAAGAAATCCTAGTTGATTTTCTCCTGAATTCCCGCACATTTCGCCCATAGATTAGGGTGTCTCAAAGCATGTATCTCCCCGTCCCCCCGTCTAATGATCTCCCACTCGTGCTCCCCTTCTTTCTCCCCTTCTTCCTCCCCTTCTTCCTCCCCTTCTTTCTCCCCTTCTTCCTCCCCTTCTTTCTCCCCTTCTTCCTCCCCTTCTTCCTCCCCTTCTTCCTCCCTCTCTCTTCTCCTTGCCTTCTTCTCGAGCCTACTAATTGGCCATTTCCTTTCCCCAGATCTCTTTTTTCTCTCCAATATCACACCTCTCATTTTGCATATTTCAAAAAACTTTTCCCTTTTTCATATTTTCCCGGAGATCTTTCTAATTTGACGGATTACAAGTCATTCAGCTTATTCGGGAAATGTTTTTATGCTTTTTCGTACGAGTATAGCTTTTCAGGAAAATCTTTACACTCTTTCAGAGACTTTTAGAAAGTTTAGAAACTTCTAGAAAGTTTAGAAACTTCTAGAAAGTTTAGAAACTTCTAGAAAGTTCAGAAACTTCTAGAAAGTTCAGAAACTTCTAAATTCAGACAGAAAACTAGTACTTCGCGTTGTAACTTTGTACTTGAACATAGAAATGCATCGTTTCTAGCATTTACTTTCACTTTTTTTATCACATTCTTTGGATTGAATTGAATTGACTTGAATTGAAATGGATTGGATTGAATAGAATTGAATTGACTTGAATTGGATTGAATTGGATTGGATTGGATTGGATTGGATTGGATTGGATTGGATTGGATTGGATTGAATTGAATTGAATTGGATTGAATTGGATTGAATTGAATTGGATTGAATTGAATTGAATTGGATTGGATTGGATTGGATTGGATTGAATTGGATTGACTTGAATTGAATTGAATTGAATTGAATTGAATTGGATTGAATTGGATTGAATTGAATTGACTTGACTTGAATTGACTTGACTTGAATTTAATTGATTGAATTGAAATCTAATCGAAAACTTAGAATTGTTGAATCTCTGTTTTGCTGTTTGTTGAATCTCTTAAAATATCACGTAGAATTGGTTGAAAATCTTTCGTTTTTAAGATCTCAATCTTATTTCATAATTTCAGCTTCACTCTAGAAGATGATTTAAAAAGATTGTCTCAAAGCTATTTTGTTTTTAAATCTAAATCATTTAGCAAGGTCCCATTTTCCCCAGAGATCTTGCTAAATGATTAATTGCTTGAAAAAATTGCTGTTTAAATTGCTGTTTAAATTGCTGTTTAAATCTTGTTGCGAAAATGGGTTTCCCGGTTTTCTGAAGTGAAATGATTTGAATTTTCTTGAATTCAATGCTAGTTTTGAGTTTGGATTGATTCTCAAATTGTATTCACAAAGAAGAATATCCTTGTATTCAAGAATTCAAGAATATTCTTGTTCTTTTCTTGATTCTTCTTCTTGTTTTCTTGTTTTCTTGATTTCTTGATTTTTTTTGTATTTTCTTGAATCAATCTTAAGCTAATTTACAAAAATTTCACCAAAACTAGCCTTTGAATTGACAAATTTAAAACTTTAACATTGAAAAATGAAAGCTTAAATCAATTTTATTCGCTAAACTCCATTCATTCTTCGCCTCAATTCATTGAAGCTTTGAATTGAAGCGATTTTTGATGAAGCCGTGAAAAGTTTCGAAATAAAAGAAAGAAAAAAATCAAAGGAAAAAGTCGAGGAAATTCTCTCGAAAATCAGTGTCCCATTGTTGAAAGCGACAAAGAAATCTTTTGAAAAGAAAGAAAAGAAAGAAAAGAAAGAAAAGAAAGCAAAATGAATAGATTGAGGATTACAAGTTCTTTCTTTTCTTTCTTTTCTTTTCTCAAATTTAGTTTTCAAATTTCTACTTTTCCAATTAAAAACTCTTTGATTAAACTTTTGAAAATGATTTTATAAATGGAAAATTTGTTAAATTTTCTAGCTTTTGTTTTCTTTATTGCTTCAAAATGTGCTTTAAAAATAGAAACGAATCTTTTCTAGGACATTCGATTTCTGAAATTTCTTAAGACGAGCTGGATAAATCTTAGAACTCTGAGATGTTTCTTAGGACTCTGAGATGTTTCTTAGGACTCTGAGATGTTTCTTAGGACTCTGGGATGTTTCTTAGGACTCTGGAATGCTTCTTAGGACTCTGAGATGTTTCTTAGGACTCTGAGATGTTTCTTAGGACTCTGAGATGTTTCTTAGGACTCTGAGATGTTTCTTAGGACTCTGAGATGTTTCTTAGGACTCTGGAATGCTTCTTAGGACTCTGGGATGTTTCTTAGGACTCTAATTTCTGTATCAAACCTTTCTCAAAAACCTCACACAAGAGTATCCATTTTCAGCTTTTTTTTGGTTTCTTGGCGTTTGAATAAAAAGAAAAGAAGCAAAAAAATAGAAAAGGGTTGAGGTTGGGTCGATCGTTTTTTTCAAAAGAAAAGACTTATTTCAGCAGATAAAGGAGTCGAGTTTTTCGTCAAAATTCAACTAGTAATTGATTAGCTTATGTTCAAATAATCATTAGGCATTTCCTGATGTGTTTACTATGCTAAAAAAGTTCATTTCCCTATTAAATCACTAAAGAATCTTCGTCGTAATCGTGGTGTTCAATCTTCAAACAATCAATCACCCACAAGCAATTCAGCCTTTCATTCAGCCATTCACCCAACATTCAGCTGTCAACAAACAGCTGAATTATTGCCTATTTTGCAAAGGCTATGCCGCCGGTGAACTGTTTTTCCTAAGAGCTTACACTTTCTACCCGATCTTCTACAAATTCATCGTCAAATCTTTCGTCCTATCGGACTAATTCGAAGAATGAGCTCAAGTTTTTATGAATGCTTGTGTCGTTTTCTCAATCGAGTAGTCCCATCTTCTGTTTCTGACACATAGAGGAGGGTCCTTAAAGGCCGCTCTTCTAGAGCTCTCTTCTAGATCTCTCTTCTAGGCCACTCTTCTAGGTCTCTCTCCTAAGTCCCCCAGAGTCTCAGCCCTCCCCTCTCCTTCTCAAGCACACACCCCAAAATCCTTCCTTTCCTTTCCTTTTCTTTCTTTTCCTTTATTTCTTCTCTTTTCCTTTATTTCTTCTCTTTTACTTTATTTTCTTTAGTTCCCCATCCCTTTTTTGAATGATGTGAGCCCATCGAAAATACACATATTCTTACCCAAACATTTTCCTAGATATCCTTTGCTTTCTTCTATTCAAATTTTGTAATCATTCAGTATCTTAAATCAAGAATCTTGCTCCTTAGTAGATGTCCTTAGTAAATACGTCTACGTCTACCTTGTCTACTACTTTGTCTACTACTTTGTCTACTACTTTGTCTGCTACTTTGTCTACTACTTTCCCTACTACTTTCCCTACTACTTTCCCTACTACTTTCCCTACTACTTTCCCTACTACTTTGTCTTCTACTTTGTCTACTACTTCGTCAAAGAGAGTAGTAGATAAAGTAGCAGTAAACTTTGTCTACTTGTCTATTCACTTTGTCTACTACTTAATCCTAACAAAAAAACCTCAGCTTATCCTCAAGTACACACATGAAATCTTTTCCTGTTTTCAGAAACAAATTCAGCTCAAAGCTCAGAGCTCAAATTACGTCTGACGAAAGAAACGTTTGAAACCAGATTTCACTTCTATGCCAGATATCCCACGTTTCTGTTAGGCTGATTTTTACAGTATTGCGATCCTATAAGTCCTATGAGCATCTACTATATAGAAGAGCTATGTCCGTCTGTATGTCTGTGCGCACTACTAGTCCGCACCCAGCGCACGCGCTATCCACTGCTTCACGGCGACGCTGTCCATTCCCAAAACATCCAGATTCTTCGGCTAGTCGATATATAAAAGAGCTGTGTCTACCTGTCTGTCTGCCTGTCCGTCCCGAATCGTGTGGGCTAGAGACAAGTGCGCTCGCACTGCGCCAGAGCATAGCCGAGTGGTTAACGCGTGCGTCTCTCAAACGAGCGAAAGAGAGAGATCACTGGTTCGACCCCTCTCGCCACCAATTCTTTTGCTTTTTGCGAAATAAAGTTTTTGTAAGTTTAAAAGTAGCACAAGATTAGGTTAAAGCTGTTAAAAGCTTTTTGAAAGCCTTTTACAAGCCAGAAATCGTTTTTGACTGATCCAACTGCTTTCAAATTATATTTTTGTCTTTTGAATGAATTTTGATTGCCTTGAAAAGCTTTTAAATATGAAAAGCACCTGCAATTTTTCATCTCCAATCGCTTTTTTTCGGAGAAACTCGTTAGATTAAAGAAAACATAAATGTTAATTAAAAAATTGAATTAAAAATTTCTTTCTTTTCTATTGCAATTTGAAATATTCAATTTCTATTGTATACAAATTGTTAAAGAAAAGGTTTAAAAAGACTTCTGACAAGCGACAAGCGACAAGCGACAAGCGACAAGCGACAAGCGACAAGCGACAAGCGACAGGCGACAAGCGACAGGCGACAAGCGACAGGCGACAAGCGACAGGCGACAAGCGACAGGCGACAAGCGACAGGCGACAAGCGACAGGCGACTCTTTTAAATTCTCTAACATTTTACAAAGAGCTGGACTTGGAACTTGGACCAAAAGCTTGGACCAAAAGCTTGTGGGCATCCTTGTGAATGTTTTTTGAAAGTCTCATCTTGTTTTTTTAAAGTTTAACTTGCTTTCTTCATTTAAAACTCACAGCTTATGCTTTATTCGAGTAAAAATCGAGAAAAACTAAGAAATTAAGAGATCCGACCATGACCGAAGCATCTCAACGACCGAATCTCCGAAAGCGTTCGAGTGTTTTCGCGGACGCTGACTACTCGTTCACGGTTGGTTTTCGAAAGTTGTCACTTGTCATTGTTCAATTTCAATTCAATTTCAAATCAATTTCAATTCTCATTACTTTACGTATCAATCTAAGTCGTTTAAAAACCAAAAATATAAAAAAAAGCGTTTAACTTTGAAAGTTTTGAGCACAGTATTTGCGCACCGGGCTAGCTAGCCCTAATATCCTAATAGAGAGAACCCCATTGTCATCCAAAGCTTACCAAACATTAAAAACACTATAACTACCGTGATCTTGGAGCTTTGTAGCTGGATTTTTGTTCCCCAGAGTCGACCTGGCAATCAGGGGCAATCGGGGGCAATCGGGCCCCACCAAATGGGGGCAATCGGCGTCGGTAAGTGTATGTAGTTCCCTTGTTAGTTTTTTAACAAAAACACTGTTTACGTTAGCTTACGAGACGTTTTTTAGCCCTTTTTTTCTACAAAAATCCCCCAACTTCCCTCTTCTCTCAAAATTTACAATCCATTTACCTTGTGAAAGAATTTTTTCAGTATTTTTGTCGATTCTTAACCTTTTTCCAGAGTAATTTATCTTCCAGGAAGTCTTATTGAATCGTTTTTTTCTAATCTATTTCCCAAGGGTTTTGAGAGAGAAAATAGACCCATTTTGAGAATTCAGAAAAAAGGGAAAACAATGCAAAGCAATGCAAAGCAAAGCAAAACGAGACGTGAGACAACCAATGGCAACACTTAGCGAAAACGATTTTTGAGCGTAAAAATGAACTGGGGAAAAGGAATTTCTGGTTTTGAGTCGGAAAAAAACAAGACATTGTAGCTTATAAAATTCGAAAATGAATGGTTAGCTGGTATTCTGGATAGGTTAGATTTATGAGCATACGTTAGATTTTGTGAATATTTCATTTATAAGATCTAAAAGCTCAGACCTTTGATCTTTGATCTATTATATCTTTTTTCTAATTTTCTAAAAACAACACTAACACCATTTTTTCATTAGACAACACTGTTTTTGCTGTTTTGGCGTTTAAAGCCTCGAAATAGCATGCTTTGGAGTTTCGTTTTAAATAGATTGGTGAAATGTTGTCATACTTTTGAAGCTACAAATCTACTGGCTCAAGGAGCCGAACCACATTGGACCATATTGGAACCGTATTGGAACCGTATCCGAACCATATTGGAACCATATTTGAACCGTATCCGAACCATGTTGGAACCATATTGGAACCAAATTGGAACCATATTGGAGCCATATTGGAACCGTATCCGAACCATATTGGAACCATATTGGAACCATATTCGAGCCATATTGGAACCGTATCCGAACCGTATCCGAACCATATTGGAACTATATTGAAACCATATTGGAACCGTATCCGAACCATATTGGAACCGTATCCGAACCATATTGGAACCATATTGGAACCGTATCCGAACCATATTAGAACCATATTGAAACCGTATTCTCAGTAGATTTGAGTAGCTTCTTTGTTCTCTTAAACCAGATCTTTTCCAAAAATCTTTAATCTTTATCTTTAAGATCCTTTAAGATTTTAAGATTTTAAGATTCAAGAAGATCAAGATCTATTTCCAAAATAATTTGCACAATTTAGGAAAAAGTACTGAAAAGCTAGGCTAATCCGTGCTGATCGTAGCCAAAAGCTCCAGAAGATTTCAACTTTCATAAGCTTGAGATCGTTTTTGAAACTGAATCGCAAAAGAAGTAAATTCTCCCACGATTTCTCAAGATCTCTATAATAGCGTGAATCCAGGGAACTAGATCCACGCTATTATAGAGATCTTTCACCTCTCAAGGAAAAAAAAGCGAATTCCCAGGCTCAATATCTATACAAATTGCTTCCTTTGCATTTTTTTTGGGGCTGAAGTGGGTGAAATTGAAGAAACAATATATTGGAGAAAGAGATTTGAGAAAAGGAAAAAGAAAATGAAAAAAGAAGAGGATCGGTGAGATTTGGGAGTTTAAAGAATGCTAAGAATACTTAAAGATTAGCTACAAACATCGTGACGCTTTCACGATACAAAAAGGTTACAGAAAGAAAAAAGAAACAATCAATTTGGGTAGAAATCATAAAAAATATTAAATGTTAATAAAAATACTATAAATATAAATAATCAATGAGAATATTAAAATATGGTCAAATCTGGTGCAGAATCTTCTCTAAGGGAGTTGAAAATGGTGACGTCGAGGAAAGAGGCCTCATTAATTAACGATTCCAAAAAGAAAGCACCTTACCCCAGGACGGTTTGCCGGATGGTGAGCGATTGTCCGGCCACACAAAGAACATCTCGCCAGTCATTAGAAGGATTTGAACATGCTGATGCCCAGGAAAGAGGGCTCATTCGTTAACCATTACAAAAAGAAAGCACCTTATGGACAGTTGGCCAGATGGTGAGCGATTCCCCCGCCGCACAAAGAACACATCGCCTGTCACTAAGCGATTAGAAAATTCTCATGCCCAGGAAAGAGGGCTCATTTGTTAATGATTCCAAAACGAAAGCATCCTATGCCAGAACGCTTTGCCAGATGGTGAGCGATTGCCAGGCCGCACAAAGAACACCTCGCCAGTCATTAGAGGAAAAAAAGATATTCAGCTTTAAATTTGTACCCGGGAGTTTTCGGGATCGGGCAATCGATTGGAGCTATTCATTTTATTGGAATTGATGCCAATTGAAATTCGGGTTAATTGCCTTAAACTTTTAGAGAAACTCGAAAACTTATTACCATATCGGATCTCAATTGGAACTCGGATCGAATTGATTTAAACTTTCAATTGCCAAAGGTCGATTGGAGCTACTACTTGCCAAAGGTACTCCAGCTCTCTAGTCGTCAGTAACGTATTCTCAATCAAAGAAATCTTTTCCCTTTTCTATTCACAGACGCAGACTTTCCCCTCCAAGCGTTTCTGCTTTTGGGTAAATGGGTCTTCTCTTTTTTCCCTTTTCCTTTTTCTTTTTCCTTTTCCTTTTCCTGTGAGCCTCTTGAAGATCTGAACCCTCAGAGTCCTTCATGACAAATGAGCCTCTCGAGTTGGGACATTGAGAATGGGAATCGAAAAGAATTCAGACATCAACAAAAAAAAAGGAAAGCATTAGAATATTGATAAGTTCTAATAGATAAACAGTACTTGGATCTTCACATAAAATCTCCTAGCATTCCTAGCATTCCTAGCATTTCTAGACTTGTAAGTGTGAATCCAAGTCGTATAAATTATCCTTTGTTCATCAGCCGATCAGTCTATTCGTGGTTTGCATTATGAAAAAGAAATTAGTGCACCAGAGGGGGTGCGTTTCTATTTCCCAACACAAACAAGCCCATATCCACCTCTAACTTTTCCCGACGCTCCGGGAAAAGTTCCGGCGGTGTCAAGGTTGAGTTTAAGGTCAAATATGACATTGAGGTAGCTTACTAGGGAAAGGCATTAGGTCAAGGTGGGCTTTTTTTGATGCGTATTTAGTGTATTTGATAGAGCTTTGAATGGGGATTCCGAATCTGCTTTTAGTTTTTCCAATGAAGCTCTGTATCGCAAGATATCTGGCATTCAAGTTTAGCTCGGTTTTTCGGAGCTGTTATGGGTCTTGAGCTATGAGCTAGCTTATGAGCCGTCTCTGATCTCACCTTTGAGATCAGCGATACCTTTGTTCTCTTCGGCGGCACCTTTGATCTTTTCGGTAAACCTTTCATAATTTTCCCGCGGAGCGTGCTTTCAGAAAGTTGCTTCCAGTTCTGGCGGAAAGTTTTACCCGAAACTTTCTAGAAGAAAAGCACGTTCTATGGGCATTTTACCGGAAAGATCAAAGGTGCCGCTCGAGAATCAGAGACGCCACCGGAACTTTTCCCGAAGCGTAGCATACGAGCTCTGATTCTTCATGGAAATCTCGAATGCAAACACCTTTTCTGCACCTAATCCATCCTCAATTCTCCATCCTCAATTCTCCATCCTCAATTCTCCATCCTCAATTCTCGATTCTCAAAAAATCTTCCCTTTTCTCACTCAACTCTTACTCAATTCTTACTCAAATCCCTCAAAAGGTCATTCAAAGTAAACTCAATTTTTCCGCACTTCTCAATCAAAAAGGGAAATCGAGTTTTGCTTCAAGATTGCTTCAAGATTTTGCATTGAAGTTCTTCTTGAGAAATGCTCATTTCTTGATATCAACTTTGGCTTTTTTCATTTTGACAATTCCCAAAAATGTAGGAGAGCAAAAAATTCAAAAAAGGGCTTTCCAACTGGCAAAAGAAGCTGCCAAAAAGGGCTTTTCAGCCAGTTTTTCAGCTTTTCACAGCCAGCCAGTCAGCTTTCCCGAATTTTTGATGAGTTCTTGAGAAAAAGTTGATGAAACTTGGGAAGTTGATGAAAGTGGAGAGGGGAAAAAAACAGTGTAGAGTTGAGAGGTCAAGAAAATGAATTCAAATCTAAATCCAAATTCAAAATTCACTCACAAACATTTCGACTTTCAGGTGATGCTTCTCGGTGACAGTTGCACAGGGAAAACATGTCTCTTGATACGATTCAAAGATGGAACTTTCCTCAACAACAATTTCATTTCCACAGTCGGAATCGATTATCGGGTAATCGACGCTAAAGAAATCTTTCTTGTAAACAAAAATTTCTAGAATAAATTGGTGCAAATCGATCAGTCAAAGGTGAAACTGCAGGTGAATAGCTGAATAGCTGAATAGCTGAATAGCTGAATAGCTGAATAGCTGAATAGCTTTGGCTTTTCTGGCTTTGGCTTTTCAAAATCGACTAAATTCAGCGCTAAAATTCAGATTTGGGACACAGCCGGGCAAGAGCGTTTCCGCTCGGTGACTAGCTCTTACTACCGAGATGCAGATGCGCTTCTTCTTGTATTTGATGTTACAAGTAGACAAAGTTTCGAGAATATTCGCGTGAGTGCATTGAATTCCCGTTTTCTCTTAAGCCTTTTAAGCCTTTTAAGCCTTTAAGCCTTAAGCCTTAAGCCTTTAAGCCTTTAAGCCTTTAAGCCTTTAAGCCTTTAAGCCTTAAGCCTTAACCCAAGGCTTCTCAAATTTTAGAGCTGGCTCTCGCAAATCAAAGAGCACGCCAAGGAGTCCGTTCAATTGACGATTGTCGGCAACAAAAGTGATCTCAGCGGACAACGAAAAGTGAAAATCGAAGAGGGGAGACAATTGGCGGCTGTAAGTGAATCGAATCGAGAAATAAAACGTCGACAATTACAAATTTTAACCATTTCAGTCCTACAGCATTCCCTACATTGAGACAAGTGCGAAAACTGGGCACAACGTCGATTTGGCTTTCAATGATTTGGCGAGGTAAAGAAAAAAGAAATCTAAATTTTCTGAAGAGGATTTGTAAACTGAACTGTACGTTGAGAATTTCCCTATTTTAAAACCTAAAATCTTTTCAGAAGACTAGTCAGCTCATTCACCGGAGTGCCAACAAATGGCGAAAAACAGGTGATCGATTTGGCGGTAAGTCAAAAGTCGTCATGGAACGGATACTCCTACGGGTGCTGTGGTTCACAATGAGTAAGTGCTGAGAGAGCGAATTGAACTTTAAAATGATCATTTTAGTTCTTAAAATTATTTCCATCTCTCAACGACACATTTTCCTTGGTTGGGTTGAGCCATTCTCAACAATCGGAGCAATATTGCACTTACTGGGTACTCTTGCCACTATTCTATGTCCTTGAATAAACGTTATATGTACTCCAGCAAACATTATTTCGTAAACCTCAATAATTTTATTTAAAAATGCACATTTATCGACTAAACTGATACCAGTATCACAAAAATAGAGATCAAAACTTAAAACAAACAAAAGTCAAACTTTCAAACATTTAAGGCACTTCATTGAGCCATTTTCTTGGCTCCTCTATGTAGGCTCCTCATCAAACGGTGTTAGGCAAAGACACTAAAATGAATAAATTACTAGCTGACCTATTGTTATAACTGTTCGCAATAACAAATAAAAGCAAACACTACCTTAAATTCAATAAACGGTTGTTCGACGGCATCGGTGAGTTCCGCTTGTAGTTGTATGTTCAGTACACCGCGATTATCGATTTGTATCCGCACCTAAAAGAAACAGTTCAATATTTATGAGCAAAATTTATACACTCTAGACGTACTTGTGAATTTTTTAAATATATTTTTATCAATTATCTGAGTTTTTTAGCCGAAAACTATTAAATTCGTAAGACTTCAAAGCACCAAATCTGATCCAACTAGGTAATTTCTTCACCAAAAATTTAACAAACCCGTGTTGCTTGATGTAACGCTGTCATCAGTCGCTTGATTGTAGCGGCTCGATACGAGAAGTCCCCATTTGCATCGCATTCGTATTGCTCGATCTCATCGGAATCGTGCGGGAACACTGTCTAAACATGATAATATTTTTTAGAGCAAACAATTTTTAGGATTGTTTGTTAAGAGCTTTCTTAATTTTTAAAACTTTATACCTATTATTAGGTTGGCAACTTAATAATGACGCGTCACTACTTAACATGTTTTTTGTAATTTCAAGCACCGTTTCTTCCCTCTTTTCGCATATATACAAAGTAAAAGATGTCTGCATAAATAGCATTTAGTGCTGCAAATTTCATCATTCGCTTTTTGGCAAAAAATGGAGGACAAAAAATTCCGTATTCGAGCTGTATTGTTCTACGATTTTAAACAAGGAAAATCTCCAGCTGAATCTCATCGCACGATCATCACTGTTTTGGAGAGGAAAGTATACACATTCGGCAATGTCAACGATGGTTTCAAAGATTCCAAGGCGGCGATGAAAGCCTCGTAGACGAGCCACACCAAGGACATCCTCCAGAAGTGGTCGACGATGACTTGCTCGCCTTAATTGAAGATTGCCCAACACTCACCGTTCGTGAGTTGGCAGAAATATTTTAAGTATCCCATACGACAATCGAAAACTATTTACACACTTGGGAAAAAGAATCGTGTTGGGAAATGAGTTCCTCACGAATTGACCCAAAGCAACAAAATGGCCCGTGTCAATGTCGCCTCAATTTTGCTACAAAAATGTAAATCGAACGACTTTTTTCACAGGGTTTTGACTTCTGACGAAACGTGGATCAACTACGAGAACGTTAAACGCAAAAAGCAATGGCTATCTGTTGGGCAGACCCCTCAAACCACTCCCAAACCTGATATCCATGGGAAGCAGATAATGCTCTGTTGCTGGTGGAACTTCAAGGGATTGGTGCATTATGAAGTGCTAAACCTGACCAAATCGTCGATGCTGATCTTTATTCGAAGCAATTAATGAGAGTTAACGAGTCTTTGAAGAAATTGGGGCTCAAACCGGAGAGAGTCAGATTTTTACGCGAGAACCCAAAATCTCACGCTGCAAAGATCACTTATAAGAAAATCGTGGAACTTGGCTGGAAAGTTTTGCCCCACGCGTCTTATTCACCTGATCTGGCTCCTTCAGATTACTTTTTGTTTCGGTCGCTGAAGCACTTTTTGAAGGGAGAAAAGTTCGATGATCATGCTCGGATCATAAAAGCAGTGAATGACTACTTCACCTCAAAAACTCCCAAGTTCTTCGAGAATGAGATCCGGGATTTGCGCAGAAGATGGGAAGAAGTCATAGATACTAATGGAGAATACCTTTTGAATTGAAAGCTCTTCTTTTGTGTTTTTTTAAAATAAATGATTTGTTACATAAACGCGTCATTATTAAGTTGCCAACCTAATAGTTAAACCAAATACTTACGTATGCTTTTCCGAGTTCACCTTTACACCCAAAAACGATTCGTTTCGGGCTGAATTTGATGGCGAATTGCTGCGATTTTGGATCCAAATCCTAAATCAGCAATAAGATATTTTAAAATCCAACAACTTACTCGTATCGTGTCCTTGAGAATATCCGGCTTCATAAAGACGTCAATAATCGATTTGCCAAGGTCGAATTCGAGATTGTTCTAAAATAGGGTTTAAGCTGACACTTAAATTAGACTTTAATATTGCTCAATAATTCACCAAATTTTCTTCAAGTGTCGGAATTTTTCCCTCAATGACAACCCCATCTTCTTCGACATAAACGTGTAGTGGCGCTCCTTGTCCTTCATAGATGAGTTGAAACGTCGAAAAATTGTTATCCAGTATCGATAAACATTCCTAAAGTATATCCGTTATAATATGTCAAAATCAATTTACCAAGAGTGTAGCCAACTTCAACGAAAAAGCCACTTGATCCGCTCTAACGGTGAAACTAAAAGAAAACTATGACATTGGCACTAAGTTATCCACATACTCTATAGATATCTATGTACGTTATTAAATCAATAAAAAGGCCGAAAACGAGCTGACTTACCACGAGAAACAATCAGGACTGAAGAAAATCTCGGCTTGATTCGAGTGTTCGTCGTTGGTGAACACTTTTGCCCCAGCCGAGTTGAACCAGAAAGTGACGTTCTAAAATAAAGCAAATAATAATGCTAAGATTTCAAATAAAATTTCAATTAATTTCTCTTTAGCGAGATGTGAACACAATATTTAGGCCAAAGTTGTATCCGAATCACTATGCATGTCTTATAAAAGTAAAAACTTCAAGCCATTTACCTAGTTGTAATATCAGGAATCTCTGAAATAACTAAACCTCTTTAAATGCTAGCGATTTGAGCAATTCCCGCATCTCTCGACAGTGTGACCGCCCAACGTTGAGTACTTGTTGTTGATCAGTACGCATTTGTTGTGCTTGCATTCCTCATGCCCTGAAATTAAAATTAGATGAGGTAAAAATAAAGTATAAAAGGGTAGAGACATTTAAAAAAGATCAAAAGAATGGGTTATTTAAAAGCGCTGCTAGAAATTTCGTCAGTGGACGGAGTAACACGTCGTAACGGGAAAAGGAAAGAAACAACTTGCAAAGTTTATGGTTGACTAGAAAAAGTAGATTCTTGGTTTCATTTTCTAGTTTGACCATTAGAACACATCAAATAAAAGTGGTAAATATTTATTAAGTCGACAAGTAGAATAATACCCCTAAAAACAAATGTTTTGAATTTTCCACCGAACTCCATAATGTTGCTTGATCGTAGGTGTTTTGCGTGAAGCGGAGTCGGCTTGGTTCACGCTATTGGTCCGCTTATTGGTCCACGCTGAAATTTGTCTTTCGAGCTAAAACAATCGTGATCACTGGGGGAAAGAGATTATTTTTACCAAGTTTCACCCCATTTAACTCCTTGGCTACGACGTGAAGCACGTTGTGAAGATAACCTAAAACGACTTAAAATTAATGAGACAAAAAATGCAGTCACCATTCTCATCGGCCCATATGCGCTTATCATCGCTGACCGTCCATCTACCATCTTTCACAAATCGGTATCTAAAAACAAAGGATATAAACTTTCAAATATACGTTTACAAGAAGCAAAACATTAATATAATGTCAGTGCTACAGGTATTTTTCAAAGCTTGATATTATTGCTACGTACAAATTCACAAACTCACTCACTTGTGATGTCCAATCGGTACTTGAACACGAAGCACCCACTCATCAGAATCATCTTTCTTTTTCATCGGCAACAACGTCTCCCAATTGAGAAACGAGCCCGTAACAAAAATCTAAAAGTTAAATTTTTAGCAAGAGAAGCTATCCAAACTATCGAGGCATCCTTTGCTTTCAGACGAAACGTTATTGTGCGAGTGACACATTCGTGATGCACATAATCATTTGAGTGCACACCAAGACAAGCTTCTAAAAGAGAATTAAATCAAAGCCCTCAAAAAAGATTAAACCTTTTCTCGAATCCACTATCATACTCTTCCAATTGATCAAAATGCATCTGTACAAGAAGTGGAGAAAGTAAAGCACCTGAAAATTAAAATTACATAATTGGCAAAGTTTAGTAAAGCAACTACATGCTGCTATAATTGATAAACGCATTTAGGTAGACTAGTAATTGTTCCTTTAAAGACAAAATCACACTACAAAAACAAAACTATTAACCTTGCAAGTAAGGTAGAGACAGGCGAGTCCAAAAACGATCCCTCCGAGGAAACGAAAAAACTTGTCGAATATTCGAAGCACTTGATTCAACATTTCGCCTCGACGAATTCTCCTAAAATCGAAGCATCAAAACAACGCTAAAAGTGAACCCTTTTTAAAATAAAACAAAATTAATCCACCCATAACTTAAAATCTTTAAAGTTTTCTCTTTTGTTTGTTTTTTTAGAAGCTTCTCTAACAACTCCATTTACCTATCCTGGCGATTCATTCAGTTTGATGTGAAGCCTATTAAAAACAAACAAACCCACCTCTAATGAAACGAATTGAGCGAGTAAAAGTGAGAAATGAAAAGTAGTGTTTCTCATCAATATCTTCATTAATTGTTTGCCAAACATTAAGCTTTTCAATTGAATATTTCAACTTTTGATAAGCTTGGTATAAATAACTTGCTTTGCAGCCATATTTCATTTCAAGCAATCCAGCTTGCCTTTCCTCTAGGGTGTGCTTGTTTCCCTTTCCCTGTGACACTTCTCTAGTAGCGTTTTTAACTTTATCACCTCCTTTTCTAATCAATTTTCTATATTATTTTACGAACCCAAGCAATTTCTCCTTTTTATGTTCACACTAAATGCAAGTGAACAGTGTAGTGTGAAGAGGTGGAAAAGGAAGAAAGAAATTATAAAAGAGAAAGAGAGCGCTCGCCCATCCATCGATTCGTTCTTTCTTCTCTCTTTGCCCTCATTTCCCAACACTGAAAACACGCAGAAATAATTATTTTTGTTCATCTATCCGTAATTCGTTCGACTAAAGCTTTTCCCAACAAAAATTATAGTCTTATAAAATACTTTTTACGGGTTTTTTTTTTGTTTTCGTAATGTTTTATTAATTTTATATCTGCTTTTGCTTAAATTTATCATCCTAAAACGATCGAATTGTCAAATTCGATCGTTTTATGATGGACCAATTTAATTTTTTTGGACTTTTTAGCACAAAAATAACGTCTTATCATATCTTATTCCTCTTGCTATTAGACATCTTTTCTACATTTCTTTGTGACCTATTTTTATCGACACATGGCCTAAATTTCTAAAATTTCTGAAGTAAACAAGCATTTTTTAACACTCTCAACCTTGTGAACGTCTCTCTATTTTTATGTAAACTTATTTTTGCTCAACAACAATTTATTTTTTTTCCAGGTAACGATTCCGGATGGATTTCGAGGAAGTTCGGCAGAAGGTGCAATCGTTGCTTCCAGCCGAGCAAGGATTCGAGGTTTACCCCTTCAGAATTGGCGCCTACAATGCTTCGGTCACCAAAGAGTTTTACTTGTCCTACGATTCGGATTCACTCGGACTTCTTGTGCTCTCGACTCCGAACATGTTTGACGTGGCTTTCAAAGAATGGATCTCCGAACAAGCGACAAAAAGTGAAACACTCGAGTCATTGACAGAAGATGTAAAGAATCCAATCGCCGATTTCCTTAACCATCGATTGAAAACCGTTGAAGATCAATTGAATGGACAAAGCTATGAAGTCTTTCACGATCATTCCATGTGGCCAAATAGACGTCCAAAAATCGTGATGTGCACGTGTGGACACGTGGCTGGAGCCGCTTACTATTATCAGCCAAAGACTTTTGCGTCGGAAATTTGGCCATCAGCGCAGGAAATGGCACCGAATTGCAAATTCATCGGTCTCTCACTTCATCCAATCTATGGAGGCCACTTTGCTTTTCGATTTGCGATTCTTTTCAAGGAAATTAAGGTTCCAAATGATTTTGTTGAGCCAAAACCGCAAATGATTACACTGACGGACGAGGAAGCTCGTGAAGCTCTGGATTTGTTCAATTATCACTGGATGGATTCACGATTCCGAGATGTCGGTTCACCTGAAAAACGCTATTCCAAGTTGCAGATGAACTATTTTGGGACGCCACCAGCTGATCGTTGGAAAATTATCAAACACTGGTTTAATTTTTGAGACACTTTGAAAAACTTTTAGGTCAAAGTTGTTAGTTCTTTGTAGTGTTAGTTCTGTGTAGCTTCCTGTAGTATTGGTCTGTTGGTGTACCTCTGTTGGAATCTGTGAATCATCTATCTCTGAAAAGTTGTGAGATAAGGGAAGTAGTTTGCGAATTTTTGCTTGAAATATTGTTTAAATGACGGGAGACAGCTGAAATGTAATCAATCTGTAACGAATCATCGAAATTTTAGGCAATTTTGTGGTGATGTAGCTACTCATCATACCATTTAATGGCTTTACTCCATCAAACATTTAGCTTAATCAGCAAAATTGGGGTCAGCAGTCATTTTTTGTCGGTTTATTTACCCCATCCCTTTTCACTCTGCGTGGATGGCGTGTGTCATGTGCACAGAGAAAGAGGGAAAAGAATCGGTGCTTTCTGGACACAAAATTTCGCAAACAACCCGCTTTCCCCTTTTCACCTCTTTTCATCCCATCGACTTTTAACCCTATTTTTTGGTTTTTTTTCTACCTCTCCATTGTAAATTTTCTGTGTGTTTCGATGAGTAGGCTCTATTCCCATTTTTCGTAATTTCGGGTTGTTTTCACATGTGAAATTTTTATATTTGCTCATGCAGTTTTCGGGCTTTTTAGGGAGTGCCTTTTCTAGAGTTGTGATCATTTTTTCAGAGTTTGTGCCATGTCAAATTGGGTTTTTTGGATAAATTTTATAAAAAAAAGTTCAGATTAAATGTCGAACGTGAAAGAGCAGGTCTCTCAAGTGGTCGGATCGGCGAAAGAAGTGGCACAGAATGTGAGTTTCGTAAGAGTAGTTTAAAGTGTTTTTGTATTGAAAATATTACTTTGGGCACTAAATACGTATTGGAGTGTTTAAAGTGATAAATTAAATGTTTAGGTGGGGGAACAGGTCTCCGATTTCTTCCAAGGAAACCCGTTCGCGACACCGGTTGGCAAGAAAATAGGTTTGTTGAAATCGGAATAGCTTTTTGGTCTTTTGTCCCGCGGCAATATGGCGGATGGTATTCGAAGCTAAATAATTTAAAAGCTAACAGTCGTATCGATTGGATATTTTGTTCTGACAACTGTAACTGACAAATAATGCTATATTATTGCTACCTAGATTTATTAAAATTCATTAGAAATTAGTTATAAACCTTGCAGAACTTGCCACCGACTCTAATTTGTTGGCCACCGAAAATTGGGGTCTGAATATGGAGATTTGTGATTTCATCAATGGATATGAAGATGGGTAAGAAAAAAAATGAGCAGCTGATTTTTAGAATAAACCAAAACATTTTAGTCCAAAGGATGCAATCCGAGCTATTCGAAAACGACTTCACAGTCAAATGGGCAAAAATAATACGATTGTCATGTACACGTTGACCGTTTTGGAGACATGTGTTAAGGTTTGAAATAGTAAAAGAAACTTAAACAAATCAATAATAGAATTGCGATCATCGATTTCATCATTTTGTTTGTCAAAAGGATTTCATTTTGGATTTGGTGAAGTTGATTGGACCGAAATTCGATGCACCACAGATTATCCAGGAACGAGTGTTGACGTTGATTCAGGTTTGTGGGAGGAAATGATATGAATGAAGTTTCATTACCTAGCATTTTATCGTAAGCAAATTCTCTTAAAGTTACACTAAGCCCCTTTGTTGATAGATTGCTAAAGAGGCTTACTGTAGCTTTAGTTTTTCAAGTGAAAATGATTATTTTGCAAAATTATTTTTAGTCATGGGCTGACGCTTTCCGAAATGCTCCCGATCTTCAAGGAGCCGCTCAAGTGTATGAAGATCTCAAAGCAAAGGGTGTTGAATTCCCGGCCACCGATTTGGACACCCTTGCACCGATCATCACACCAAAACGAGTGGGTTTGAATTAAAAATTATTGAGTTTGTTATCATTTTTGTGAAGATGCTATCGTGTTTCGTAAACCTATCAAATCACGCACTTTCCATCGATTTTTGATATGCAAATCGTTTTGTTTTGTGTGTAAATCTGTAGTATTGTGTTTGTAGACTGTGTTTACGGAACCACCACCACAACAGCAACCACAAGCTCCCGATGGTTCAACCACAAGCGACGGTAAATCACAAAAAAAGATTGGATTTCCTTTTAGTTTCCTTTCAGTTAGCTTTTTTTTGTACTGTAGTGTTTGTTGAGTGAGTGAATTTTATTTTTTTAAAGAACTAGAAAGATTTAGTAACTTTAAACGGAATTTTATCAAAGCGGTGTAAAGTTTCATTTGAAGTTTAAAGTAGTTAGTTCAGTTTGAAAATGAAAAACTTTCAATGCAATAGTCAATAAAGAGTCTAGACTTTTCAAACGACTCTTTTCTGGACCTACCAAGTCGCTCCTGTCTCTGAGACGCCTGTTCAAGCAAATTCCGAACAATTGGTGAAACTGAGGAATGATATCGATATGGTGAAACTCGAATTTGAAGGTGTGTTTTTTGAACAGTTTTCATTACAAATCTTGACCTAGTAACACTTCGATTATCGTTGAGCTTAGCTAGGTTCTATGTACTAGGTTGAATCTGGACGTTTTTAGGTTTTCCGGAGAGATGCTCACAGAGATTGTCCCAAATAAAGTTACCCAAGACGAATTGCAATTGATCCTGGAGTTGAATCAAGCGTGTCGACAAATGCAACAAAGGGTGTTGGAATTGATTGGACAAGTGTCGAATGATGAAGTGACACGTGAGTTTAGATAACAAAGATAATATGTCCAGATTGAACCCTGTTGAAACTAAAGATTGAAAATTTTTCCAGATGAGCTTCTCGTGTTGAACGACGAATTCAACAGCGCATTTGAGAAATACGAGCGTTTCATGTCGAACAAAGATGCAGAGCAACCGGTGAGTGTTTATGGATGTTACGCTTCTGTATTGAATTGAAACATGCAGAAATTTACAATAACAAAATGATAAATGGTAATTAACAATGTGAACCAGTTCCAGAAATAGCAAAACTTCCTACTGCAAATACTCTAATAAAGCCCCCTATAGAAGCGTCGCGCAGTCTAAGTTTACTTTCAAACAAACACTCATATCTCTACACCAGTACGTTTGTTTCTGCACGCTTGGGTATCAAATTAAAGTAAAAAGGATGGGTGATTTTTTGAGATATAACAAATATTTTAGCATTAACGAGCGCTTAGAAAAAAATGATTGAAAAGTTGCAAAAAAAGCCGATTTTTCATCATTTTTCAATCATTTTGTTCTAAGCTCTGGTTAATGCTAAAAATATATCTAATAGTTTAAAAAAAAATCACCCATTCTCTACTTTAATTTGATACCAAAACCCGTAGAAACAAGCGTACTGGTGTCGAGATATGAGCGTTTGTTTGAGAGTAAACTTCGACTACGCGACGCTTCTATACGGGGCTTCTACATATTAAAGTATTTATGGTAATCACTGGTGTCATTCACCGACTGCTCAAGGTCTAAAATTGTTTGTGGCATTTTACTGTTAAGGGTTTCTTATCAAAAAGTTTAGTAACATAGTAGTGAATCAATTTTTGGACCTTATTTTTCCTATGAAAGTTTATCGGATATCTGGTCAGATAAGTTTAAATCTATAATGAAGATGATCTGATCTGATCCAAATCAGAATCCCATTCATGTCTATTATGATTGTGAATAGCGTATTTAATTGCAGGCCCAAGAAACTACAATTTCAGTCCGACGCAGCCGACTCAAGAGGGAGCAGTGTTGAGTTGATCGATGTGCAAGTCCCTTCTGCTCCTCAAACTGTTGCCGACCAATTGGAAGCTTTGAGTGAGTTGAAAGTTGAAAGTTAGTCTAGTCAATCAAAAATCCCTAATCTAAAGGCCTCCATTTTCAGAACTCTCCTCAACCACCAACCAACCATCAGTGATTGAAGAGTGAGTTGTGATGGATTTAGCAAGATTTAAACTAGACTGGTTAATCACCAAGTTTTAGAGCTTACCGAGCCAATGCTGAACCCCAAGCCTCGGTGGGAATTCGACAAGCAGCCGGTGATCGATCGTTGTCCGTTAGTGAAAGGGAAGCAGCGGAGATGGCCGATTGGTTGAATATGCAAGGGAAAACAACAAACGGTGAGTCGTGTGACTAAAGCAACAGTAGGATGTGGTCAAAGGGAAAAGCAACAGTAGGATATGGCCAAATGAGATAAGCCAAGCCATTCGACGCAGAATTTCACGCTGATTCTGAATGTGTTTTCCGTTTTTGCGAGTGCGCTTTCTATAAAAAGCTATACGTGTTTAAGTTTTAGGGTGAAAATGCGAAAGTTTTAAGCCGAATAGGGATGCCTTTATAATGCCGAATAGGGTTCTCTCACGGGTCCCAAATTTGACTTGATCGTTTAGTGGATAAAACGCTTGCATACGAAACAAGCACCGCGTTTATTGCTCGAGTTCGATTCCTTTTTGACAAAACTTTTATTCTAAGCTTCAACTTGCCTTCAACTTCAACTAGCTTCTTTTCAACTAGTTGCTCTGATTAACGGAATCGATGTTACCGTAGCCAAGGCAAGCCAACCTGTAAGGACATTAGCATCAAGTAATTAAGACATATTATGCGGAAAGGCAAAGTTTAGAGCTAAAAATGCAATGATAGAAGTTAAGCGTGATTACTGTAGTCGGGGCACGCTTTAGAGAATACTGATGAAGTGGGATGACGATAGTTTTGAGCGTGTTTAGAGGAGACAGGAAGCGTGGTTAGAATAGAAAGGTTAGAAGGAAGCGTGGAAAACTTTAGATCGAGGTATCGATATTTTTAGATCTTTAAAATCGACGTATCAATCTTTTTTAGTTCCCAAATTTATTGAAGGCTGATATTTTAAATCGATTGAAGATCGATTTAATTTGTCGATTGAAGATCTTACTATAAAAGGTGCCTGTAATCAAGATATTCAAAGGTTTTCAGAAAAACACGATCCCGAGAATGACAAGCTGTGAAGAGCTCAATGATCAGCTGACTGATCAGCTGACTGTACATAAGCTAAACAGCTTTATCATGTAAAAGTTGCCTAAGAACACACTTCTTTGATATTCTTTGATATTCTTTTTGATATTAATTTATTCTTTTTTAATCATTTTCATTGCGAAGATGAATCATTGATAGATAGATCTAACACTTTGACTTTCTTGATGCCGGTTGTGATTACAGCTTAATCCCCTTTCTGTTCAAGCTTAATCAGCTTACAGCTTAATCCTTACAGCTCCTCTCGCACAAAAATCTTTACCCTGAATTTATGCCCAACTTTTATTTTGCAAAACATTCTAGATCTACCCCTTTTTTTATATGGTTTTATCATTTGTCGATAAAATGATTTCTCTCCTCGAAACTATGACAACAACAATGTCTTTTTAAAGCTTCTTTTTTTAAGACAGTTTTTTTTAAGTAATTCTCTTGACCAAATCTCCAGATTCAATCGGATTTTTGATGAAATATTAAGCGAATAAAAGTATCTATACAAAAAGAATTAACAAAACTTGGTTTTAACAACTATTAATCCGTTTTGCGGTGTCAAAAAAAAAGTCGAAATAAACTTTGGTGTGCTAGTTCTTTATGAAATGACTTGTGCTTGAAGAAAACGATTGTGTGTGTGTGTGTGTGATGTGAATCGATCAATATCGATCAATATCGATCAATATCGATCAATAACAATGATTTGAACATGTGACAAAGAATTTAAAGAGTTTCCCTTTTAGTTTACGAAAAGGAAAACTTGGAAAGGTTTGGGTTTAGGGTTAGGTTTCGATTTAGGTTTTGATTTACAGTACTGGACAATGAAATATGATATTTGAGACTTCCTTCCTTTCTTCCTTCCTTTCTTCCTTCCTTTCTTCCTTCCTTTCTTCCTTACTTTCTTCCTTCCTTTCTTCCTTCCTTTCTTCCTTCCTTCCTTCCTTCTTCCACCTTGTCTCTCCCTCTTTCTCTTGACAAGTTAAGGGACCGGAATGGTTAGAGCAATTGCTCAAGGCAAAAGGATTCAATCAAGAGTCGAGGGTTCAATTCTCTCTCCTGAAATCTACTTTTCTTTCCAATTCCACTTGTTTATTATCGTCGAGCTAGTAAAGATGAGTTGTATGGAGATGCAAATCAAATAAATAATTGTAAGAATGGGAAAAGAAAAGAAAAGAAAAGAGAGATGGAAAGGGAAAATTTATGGGTCTGATCAAAGATAGAAAGGTGGATGAAAGGAAAAGGGGATTGGATTGGGGAATAGATCGAGGAATGGATCGGGGAATGGGCACACGACAAACAAAGACAAATAGGCAAACAGATTAGAGACACCTCTTTCGATAGGCATTTCTTTTGGAGATGTGAAGGGTCAAAAAGGAATTCAGCACATTCTTTTAAAGTGTTCATGTTTTTGAGTGTTAATTTGACAAGTGTTTACCAATTTCTTTCATAATTTCACTCTTTCACTCTTTCTTTGACTTTCTCTTGAGCTCACGACTGCCGCTCATTGCTATGACGTCTCATTGCTCATTGCCGTCTCATTGTTCTCATGACTCATTGCTATTTCAATTCATCCTCTGCTTATTCCTATTTCAATTCAACAATTGCCAAATTTCCTTCTTTTTCATTAAACTTTGCCTTTGGATTTATCTATTTGAAAAATGCTTTCAAAAATGACACAAAAATGACACAAATCTTACTGGGTTTAGCTCAAAAATAGACTGAATAACGAGTTTGGAAAAGATGAGCTTTAAAAAAAAAATCGCTTTATCCTTTTTTGAATAGGTTTTTAGAACTTTTAGCTCACCAAATCAGACTATTTGAGTAAATGGAGAGCTTCTTTTGCATCAGAATTACCCCACCACGAAATTGTAAACCGCGAAATTGTCATCAATGCGTGGGGAATAGTTGAGAAGGGATTGAATTCGTTGAATGAATTGAATGAAATCAGAACACTCACCTCAATGAGTCATTCTTTCAATTTTAGCAGTCGAAAGTGATGAGATTTCTTTCGCGTTTTCGCTATACGAGGCTAGAAATCGTTTCGATGAAATCGATACTATCGTCAATACTAACTAACCGGAACCGAATCAAATTCAAGTTCAGTATTTTTGGACGACTTCTTTTGATAGATTAGCTTCAAAATTCAACCCGAATGTGTTAAGTGTTATATGAAATATTGAAGCCCTGAATCTTGGCTACATTTATTTAATAAAAGTTTCCCGATTGGACTTCTACAAATCATTTTCCAAGCACTTGAATGAGCGCTAGTCGACATCTTTCCGAATCGGTCATTTGGCTGTTTTTCTTTATTAAAAATTGTTAAGAAAAGCTTTTATGAACATCTACTAAAATTCGGATAAACAGAGATGATGAGTAGGGCCGCAAGGATGACAGGCAAATTTGTGAAGTGTGTTTTTTAGAGCTTGCTTGCTTTCAGCGCTTGCTTGTGACTGACAAAGAGCCCGATATCTTAGTCAGGAGGTCAAGGGTTCAATCCCGAAGGCTTTTCTTCAAAGGTTCAATCCCGGAGGCAATTAGTTCTTTTCTTTCCATAGATATGGGTTTTTCTTTCCCGACATTTAGGGCTTAGGGATTGTGCTTGTGTATTGTTTTGTACCATTCGTGTGAATAGATGGATTTTTTGAAAACCATGCTAAGCTAGCCAACTTCAGACTTGGTTTCTGACTGGCTCTAGTGGCTTTTCAGAGCTTTCAGAGCCTTCAGAGTCTTCAGAGCCTTCAGAGCCTTCAGAGCTTTCAGAGCTTTCAGAGCTTTCAAAGTCTTCAGAGCTTTCAGAGCCTTCAGAGTCTTCAGAGCCTTCAGAGCTTTCAGAGCTTTCAGAGCTTAGCCAAGCCATTAGCAAAGCTAAATCAGATCCAGCAAAGTCTCTATTTTGTTTTGAAAGTTGATCTTGAAAGAGTTAGATATCCGATCTTTTTCGAAATAGATTTGTTTGAGTACAAGTCTTGTCGTCTAGCTAAACTACAAGTTCTTCTAGCTAAACTACAAGTTCCTCCAGCTAAAACTTGTCCAAATAGCTTCAGGCCCCTGCTTTTGCAACTTTCCCCACTGGCAAGTCTCCAAACCTCCAACTACAAACAGGCAAGTCTTTTTTCAAACAAGAAAACCTCTGACTCACAATTTCCCCCTCAATATTTGCAATTATCTAGAACCCTAGCCAGGGACAAGCCAAAGTTGTATATTGGAGCTTATCAATGAAGTGAGGGGAGCTGTTTGAATGGCTCTTCTCCCTCCACTCCTTCCACTCCCTCCATTCTGATATCAGCCATCGATTCCCCATTCTCTTTTCCTCACAAACAGATCACTCATAAACAACACAATAAAAAGCGATCCTTTTCCCCGTTTTGCTTCTTTTTCAAATAAATATTTTTGTTGACTTGCCGCTTTAAATCTCTGCAGTTTCGTGGTTTTTGATTTCTCTTTCTATTTGATTGTTTGAAGATCGTTGATGCAAGGACTTTTGATTTACCGAACCACTTCTAAAACCAGTTCCAACCACTTCTAAAACCTAGAACCACTTCTAAAGCCAGTTCCAACCACTTCTAAAACCTAGAACCACTTCTAAAACCAGTTCCAACCACTTCTAAAACCAGTTCCAAAAGTTGGGAATTAAATCTGGGTTCCAGGATTGTTTTACAATTATTGTTCTTCTATTCCAGGATTGTTCTAAAAGCTTTTCAAGATCAGACATGGTATGGCTGGCTTGCCTTGGCTGGCTGGCTTGCCATTTCTGGTCTTGCCTTGCCTTGCCTCGTTCAGCTTCAGATCTGGTTTACAAGAAGTCCCCAAGAAGAACCTTTCCTGGATTCTGAGCTGGAAGGCTAGAGCCAGCCTCTAGCTAGGCTAGAGCCTTCTAGAGTCTAGTTGACACATCTCTGGCTATAAGAGCTTTAAGTTAAAATAGGCTTATCCATCTCTCCCTTTCTTCCTCTTCCTTTCTTCCTCTTCCTTTCCTCCTCTTCCTTGTCTTTCCTATTTCTTGGGAAAAGAAGGCTCCAATAGCTCAGTGGTAGCTCTAGATCTGTAGAAAGATCGGGTTCAAAAAGCAGAAGATCGTGTTCAAGATCGGGTTCCCCCCTGGTAACAAATTCTTTACCATTCATTTCTTTATTTGATTATTTTGTAGCTGTACTTTAGCTGTACTTTAGCTGTACTTTTGATTTGTGTCTTATTTTCTAGCTAACTTCAAAGCTAACATTCAATTCTTACTGAGGTATTGCTTAACAATATTGAAATTCAAACTCAAAATGAAATTCATCCATTGAACCCCAAGCTATTTTCATAATCCAATGCATGGCAAGATGCTAATTGTGTTTCAGTGGCTAAAAATCTACATTTAAAAGTCACCCAAGTATTGCAATAGAATATTGCTGAATAAGCCAGATTCGATTGGTAAAATCATTTTTTGTTCAAAGCCAGCCAGAAAGTCAGATCTTGGCTTGTTCTAGAAGATCTAGAACATCTCTAAAACATCTAGAACATCTAGAACATCTCTAGAACATCTACAACATCTCTAGAACATCTCTAGAAGATCTACAACATCTCTAGAACATCTCTAGAAGATCTAGAACATCTCTAGAAGATCTAGAACATCTCTAGAAGATCTAGAACATCTCTAGAAGATCTAGAACATCTCTAGAAGATCTAGAACATCTCTAGAAGATCTAGAACATCTCTAGAACATCTCTAGAACATCTAGAACATCTCTAAGCCAAATCTAGAGTTTTTTTTATCATTTCCCAATGCACAGCATACAAAACGATTAGAAAATCAATGAAAATGTGAGTTTTTCAAGCCAGCTTCACTACTATTTAGAAATATTTCCGTTTTTGGCAGAACTATTCCCTTTGCTGACTAAAATGTCGGCTCTTGCTCGGGCATTTTTCCTTTTTGTGAAAAGAAAGCTTTGAGAAAATGTGGGGAAAAGGAAATCTGTCTGATTGGAAATTTTCCTTTGCATACC